AATCATCTCAGCATACTGATATGGTGTGAAAACTGGATTTCCACTTTGAAGACGACGTTTAATACACCCAAAATCACGACCACAGGGTACAAATAAGTGTACCCTGACTGGGAAGTAGTGATGAACAATTCCAAAAATTCCTCCATCTCAGAGATTCATTAGGAATCGCACAATACAATGATTTTTGTTCTGCCCTGAAGGCCTATTACTGAAAAGAATAATATACTTAGTTCCACTAGGAATTTCGGTTTTCAAACAGTGCAATAACATCTAGCAAACCTCCTCTGGGGATTTATTGGCCTTGTTAGTCTTCGTCATGAATAAATCGGCAGGGTTGTCATCAGATGAACATGAAATTCACTGCAGATAGTCGTCCTACAATTTTGCTCGACGTATATCTGCACTAAACATAAAATTTAAAATAAAATATAACCCATTTAGAGGCTTCACAGTTGAGAAGTGTCTGCTTTAAACAATGTGTTTACAGTGGGGCATTCAGAATCTATTCATATCCCCTTTTCGAAGAAAATATCAGTTGACGAGTTTCTGAAATAAACATTTCATTTATCCTTTTAGAACTATACAGTCCAAATGGAAACTAATACATTAAGTATCCTAGTTAAACTCAATATTACTTTCCTTTTTGATGCTCGGAATAGTCAAATTGTACAGAAACAGTTATGCAACAGAAAAAAAATTTACTTGGCACTTTAACTTGTGTATCAATTTTTGTTTAATGCCATGTGGCAATGTGTGAAACTGACAGCTGATGTGTTATTCTGACACCTGATGAATTTGATTATTACTTCAAATGTTATAGTTACAGATACCTGAATTGGTTGAATACATGTTCCCACCCTTATGTAAGTAATATTTAATAAAAACCACTGAAGTAAATCTTCCACTTTTTAGTTTCTACTGAATGTTGAAGGTAACATTGAATGCGATTCTGATGATCCTGATGTTACAGCAAATAAACTCAGGTGGAAACAAAGACACTTTGGGGAAGGAAAAATTGTTTCATTACAATTTCACACAGCATCAGTATCCTAAGGCATAAAAAAATCTTTGAGACAAAAAATTAGATTAAATTAATTGTTATTTTTCGTAATATTTATTTTATTAATTCATAACATTACAATACAACCCTTACATTATTATGCAATGTTATTTTCACAAAGAAATTGAAAATTATATTAGTCATGCATTAAAAAGTCTTGTCATTTATCAGACACAAAGAGAATAGTTTTCTATCTTAATTTTTATGGCTAACATTACTTATTCACATTATACCTTGCTTGAATGCAACAAAAAACTAACTGGAAGCTTACCTTATAAAGCTGCACTAAGGATACCAAATCACAGCCAGTGTCTTTAGTTATTTCATTTGTTTCTTCAGAATAATCATAATCCCTCACCAATTGTCAAATTAATTCCTGGATCTGCTCATGATCAGACTCTTGGGATTATAAGTTCAGCAGACCTCTATACTTAAAAAAAGTCTTTAACAAAAACTATGAGTTTCAATATTGAAATATCTTTCCAATATTTTGGCAACATATCTTAAACAAAAACTAGAAGCACCAATACAGAATTATCTTTTCAACACTTCGATATAAGAAAGTTTAAACATAACATAAGAGGAGATTTGATTCAGTAGGCATTACTGTATTGTTCATACCAAATTGTGCCTACCATATTGCTGTGTCTTTTTAGATGACAATAAAAACTCCCAAAACACACCTACAGAAGATTATAGTGAGATATTTCCAAGGCACCATGCATCCTGATACAGAAATATCTTTTCAACATTGTGGCATAAAAAAAGGTGGAAAATAATGTAAGTAGACTTTTAACGCAATAGGCATTAGTATATTTTTCTTAGCAAACAATGCCAAACATTTTGCTATATCATCTTTATGACAGTAACAGCTCCTTGGCACCACTATATAGAATGACTGAGAATAAATGTTACAAATATTAGGACATATAATTTGCCAATGAACATGTGGCTGGAAACCTATAATAATATAATTACACATGTGGTATGTGTACCCTGATTGGTAGGTAACTCATGGTGCACTTGTGTAACAAGTTGTAATTGGGTGTCATTCATATTTCATCCATATTTGATGTCAAGATAATATAACTACAGACACAGCCTACTGGAATAGAAAATAACAAGTTGGCAATGTATTGATGTCATGTAGACTTCCAACTTGAGAAGTAGGATGAAAATCAACATTCAGAAAAAAAATATATAAACATTTTAATATCATAATATTCTTGGGTGAGGATGTAAAGTTTAACAGAACACTTCAATCAGAGTGGTGTAATGAAGTGGAGCCCTTGAAGTACCAGATGCAATGTCTTATTGGTGGTGTATTGACTGAGGACATTACAATTAAAAGTTAAATGGACTAAAATATTTGGAAGAGTGGATATTGAAACCAATCATAATATCTGTAAGATACTTTGGGAAATAAAATACAAAATGATGACAAATTCCAACAACAACATCATATAATTCAGGGTAAATAAGTATAAAGAGAATATATAACAGTTAAAGAGTACAAAAAGATATAATTTCCATTAATTATTAATAATATTTTTCAATTGTAAATTGAATAACTAAATATTTAATTATAGGACATTATTGGGAAGACAAAAGAACTTAGTATTGCGCAATAGGAAAAGAACAGAATAGCATTGAACCTGCTAGTAAACAAGGTAAACAATGTAAATGAGGCAAGTTGAGTGAAAGAACTTCAACAAAAAAAAATTAACAAAATGAGTTGTGACTCGGGAGAAGACAGATGAGCATAAAGGTGAACTAGATTTTTAACGGTATTGTTTTCAGGAAAGTAGGAACATAAAACTGCATGATGGATTAGATCTAAAATAATAACAATTGGTTGAGTGGAATTTTTTTATTAACTGATTTGTGCTAAAATGAATTTAAAATTGAAAATCATGCAGGTCATACAGTTATTATGATATATAGTATTTGAATGACTAAAGTCAAGAAACTATAAGTGTGGAGGCCAAAGATAGATGGAAATTGGTTGCAGCTGTGATGACGCCTGGTGGGGATATCCAGTAACAATGTCAATAGAGCTAATCACATGTAACTATGTAAGTGCTTGAAAATTAAGAAGTTTCAAAGACATTTAAGTAAAAATGTAAAATGACATAAGTTAAGAATACAATTAAGTTCTGATTGCTCATACATTGAAGTAATAATGGCCATATTCATCTAAATTTAAATTATTTAAAGCAGGAATAAAGCATGGATCCAAAAAGATAATATAAAAATTCCAGTAGATCATTTATAAAAGTTATAAAGTTAAAGCATAGTTCACCAATGTATAGCTAAAATTAGTATTTTTTATTAATTAAAACACTAGTTAGAGTGTATGTCATTATGCTGTTGTAATTTTATTACAAATCAATTTTTGTTCTTTAGTATATGAAGAACATTTATATGACAAGGAAACAATGACCAACTCCAGTTTTTCCCAAATTATAAAAATATTACCAACTGTGTACTCGTATGAATGGTAATTTTCAAGCGCACTAAGAAGAATATAATTTATTTTGACCTTGGGATGTGTAAGTATTGTCATGTCTTATGTTAAAATCTGAGCCAGCCAAAAAGAAAATAACACAAAAATATAAGAAAAGAAGGAAATATAGCAGTTATAGTAAGCTAGTAGTATTATAAGTAGTGTTATTTATAATACATAACTAAAGGGAAAAAGACGACATTTCAATACAGCTAAATGGTGTACATGGAATTGAACCTAAAGGAAGGACTTATGTTATTTGAAAGGTGAAGAAGATCTATATAGATATTGTAATTGAAAATTATGGAGTTAACTGAATGTTTCATTATTATTTCAGTTAACAATCCAATACTGTACATTTTTTTTATCATTATGAATAAATGTTCTCTTTTAGTTTTAATTTGAAAGCATTTTAATTTAATATTTTCAGTAAGTTATCTTATTCAAATCTATGGTGCATATCATAGGATCATCAGCCCTGAAGAAATATTAAAAGGATATTTTTATTTTCTCCCCATTAAGTGAATTTATTACATGTTTTTATATTAATGGAAAAGAAAACACCATCCCACTGGTATTTGGCTGGTACATGTTCCACCACAAAGATGTTGTGTACCTGTCAATAATAGGTAAGGTAAGATACTACCAATCAACCAATCAGAGGCACATGTCATACGTGGAACTTCATTACATAAGATTTTCCGCCACATGATTTTTGGCAAAAAGTGATCTCCGAGTCCCCTGTACATCCTAGAAGTTGGTTTTATTTTTGTAAGATACCTGGAGATTACAATACGACTCTTTAGTCATTTGAGCTAGATGATGAATCACTGCCTGCCCCATCCTCGCCCTCTTCAGGGGGACTTTGTTTCAATGACCCACCATTTAATACACTGTTTGCTGGCTGAACTCCTCCAGAACTTGTTACTACTTTTTTTACAGTATTGCCAGAAGAAACACTATAATTTTTATTATCAGAACGACGAACCGAGTCTGCAAAGCTGCCAAATACCTTATCATTTCCTGCAACATTGCCAGTATCTCCATTGCTTGAAAGCTGAGATCTTACATCTATTGCTATTCCATGATTTGCTGTAGCACCTGATGTCAGTTGAACTGATTCATTGAGACTATTAGCTAGACCAGAATTTTGGGCAGAATTTCTTGGACTATTTCTAACCACAGTTTTATCAACAGGATAACCAAAAACTAGGCACGAGTTCGGATCAACAGGAATACAGTTTTGCCCCAAAACCCCGCTGTTACTCGATGGCTGAGATCCTAATCCAGAAATATTACCAGGAGGCAAAATATTATTTGGTATACCAAAACTATATCCGCAGTTCAACTGCTCATTACCAGAACCTAATACATTACATTCTGACACACCATTGCCTCCGGTAAAACTTGACGAACTGCCAAACACGCCGTTGTTCAATGCCTGATTCGACATACCCAAAACATTGGGAGCAGCAGCAGCAGCAGCCGATGCGGCAAATCCAAACGACTGGTTGCTCTGCTCACTCACCGATCCAAACAAAGTTCCCTTGGACGGCGAATTTTCCGAGGCGGATCCGAAGAAACCTGCATTGGCTGCAGGGCGGCCAAACATGGTCGCCGCCTGAGAAGCGGGGACGCCAAACGTGGTCCCACCGGAAGCGGTAGCAGCACCGAAAGTGGTCCTACCGGAAGAGGTAGCAGCGCCGAAAGTTGTCCTACCGGAAGCGGTACGAGTTCCGAAAACACACCCGCCGAAAGTGGGCCTACCGGAAGCGGTACCAGCGCCGAAAGTGGTCCCGCCGGAAGCGGTACCAGCGCCGAAAGTGGTCCCGCCGAAAGTGGTCCCGCCGGAAGCGGTACCTGTGCCGAATAAGGTCCCACCGGAAGCGGCCGCGGGCACCCCGAAGGGGAACTTCCTGCCGCCGCCGAGGGCGTATTCGGCGCTGGCGACGCCCTCCTCCAGCATGCGCCGGACGACGTCGGAGGCGGCGAGGTCGCGCGGCGTCTCGCCCTGCTTGTTCTTCTCCCCGAGGGCGGCGGCGCCGCCGGCCTCCAACAGCGCGCGCACGCACACCTGCCGGTCCGCCAGCGCCGCCTTGTGGAGGGCCGTGTCCCCGTTGCCGTCCTTCCACAGCACGTCCGCCCCGCGCAGCAGCAGCTCGCGCACCACCTGTCGCGGCCAACACGCACACGTCACAGGCCGCTCCACGACAGCTTTTTGCACATTTCATCATTTTTCGTCCGGACAGAAAAGTGACGGACAAGGCTGGATGTAATTTGGCCAAATAATCACAAGGTCACAGCTCGCTCCGTAAGCCTGTTTTACACTATCATTTTTTCACCATTTTTCGCAGATACAGAAAAGAGACAGACCAGGCTGGATGTAATTTGTACGACAAAATGACGCATGCTTAATTCTTCGGGACAAATTTCAACTAGTTTGACTATCGCGCTCCTCGTAAGTCACTCTTCGGAACTTTCTGTGTGGTGCGATTTGTTCATTTTGTAAAGTTTCGAGAGCGTTCTGATATGTTGAATTGTAATGTGAAGTGGTTATGTAGTGAGAAATAAATCATGGACTGTGTTCTAATATCGTCGCGTTCTGTCGACATTCGTAATATAATTTGTTACCATAGATCCGATGTTCAAGCGCTTTTGCAACCTCTGAAGGAAGTATTTTCTTCACGATTGCGTACAAAGACAGAAATGACCGTGTAAAACGCTGGAATCACTTTAAATCACTTTCGGCACCGGAACATAACTCGTAGACATGAACTTTTTTTTCTATACACTTTCTGTACAGGAAAATTATGAAAAAATGACCGTGTAAAACAGGATTTAAGCCCGTTTTTTGTCGGTACAGAAAAGTGATGGGCTTGCTTCTTTCTAGGTAACTTTTTCATTCAAGCATCATTTATATTTGTTTCACTAAATACAAAACCATTTATTCATCCCATTCACTCCCAGTGCTCTACACTAGTAGTCTTGTGTTTGCCACGGCGCTGACTCGACTGAAAGTAGGGCAGGTGGGGCGCGGCGACGGGTGCCACGGCACCAAGCCCACACTCACCGTCAGGGCCCTGCAACTCTCCAACAAAACAGGGGACAAAGCTCGAGGGTGCTACTATAGAAGGCGCTAGTGTCGCCCGGTGCAGTTGCAAGTTAGGCTCGCCTACTTCCGCACATACAAATTGGCAAATCTTCTAAATGTTCAATTATTCATAATCTATACTTATACGAAACGTCTGAAGAAAGCGCGATCATAGACGTTATCTTTTGTAACGTTAAGGGCCTGCTTGCGACCCGCGAACTCACGCAGCAGCCACGCACGTTTAAAGTATCGTTGGCAGCAGTTCGTGTTTTAGTCCCTGTAAAGAAGGCACGCAGCGGAGCGCGCCACTGTAATGGCTTTCACCACGTTATAAGGGAGTTACAGGACCCTGCTCACCGTCCTCTTTTTTCAAAATAAACGTGTCAAATAATGACCTTATTAAAAATTTAACTTTGTACGAGCCGGATCCCACGGCCACGTACAAGCGCCCGAGAGAAATGCTAGAGTAGGCGAAACTACAATACTTACACGAAAATTGCGGTAAACAACGCCAAAGGCGCGCCGAACAGCTATTGTCTTTCCTGACCTTCCTTGTTCTTTTTCTACTTTACAGACCAGCCGTAGATGTGCGAAAGGATAGGAATGGCTTCGTAGCAGGGACGTGTGGCCACACAGAACCGCGCTGCAAAGCTACGGGGGCGCTCACCGTCCAGTGCCCGTTCCAGGCGGCGGTGTGCAGCGCGGTGATGCCCGAGCCGTCGCGCGCCGAGGCCAGGTCGACGCCGGCCTCCAGGAGCGCC